ATGCTGCACATCTGCAAGACCATGCACGACTCTGTCAAGTAGGATGTTATCTTTTTGGGGGGGATATATTTTTTTCTATTACATAATTACAATAGTAATAAACCTATTTTATTTTGTCATCTTAGAACAAAGGGCTTATGTTTTCAGTAACGATGTCAATGTTACATAATTTCTAGTATTTTCTTCATTCCTTCATCTGCCTGCCATGATTCTTCAGCCCTCTGCTCTTTATCTTGCAGCGCTCTCACTCTGGAGGATGAGAAAAGATCTTTGGCTCTGCTGATCATCGGCTTCATCCGCATGGTGAGACTCCTCCGACTTGTGCTTTATGAACTAATGATCTTTTTTCTTTCTTTCTTTTGATTACTGTTCTTTTAAGGATTCAGTGTGCAATAATTAGGGGGATTTATTGCCAGAAGTTGAAAAAAAAGTATGTATTTATTTGTGTTTAATCACCTAAAAGTAAAAAAAATTTTTTTTTTTTCTTGTGGCCATTGTATTATTTGGGAAGTAATCATGAGGAATTGGATGCAAAGTGCAACTTTACCACTAGATGTCGCCATATGCCACACACTGGATCTCTAATTTCCAGTTTTCTTTCCGTTAAGCTTCTATATAACAACTGTGTGGGCATCATAGATTATAGTATAGTATTGTAATGTATTTTATATTATAATCCCACTTCCATCTGACAAAAAGTCTTGGATGTAATAGTCATATCACAGTTGATGAGTAAAAGTGTGTTTTCTCCCTCTTTGATTCTTTGTTCTGTCTCCACCATGTTGTCCAGGTGTCTTTTGGCCGTGATTTTGAGCAGCAGTTGAGTTTCTGTGTGGAAGCCAGAGCCACCTTCTGTAACCTGGAGCCGGTTCTGGTGCAGCTCATTCACGTGAGTAGAAATTAGTGTGTGTGTGTGTGTGTGAGTGTATGATATCACATCAGCTCGATGCTCAGCCGGTCCTGTCTTTCCCAGACGGTGAACCAGCTGGCGATGGAGACCAGGAGGGTGATGAGAGGGAGTCACTCTCGCAAAACGGCAGCGTTCGTCAGGGTGAGTCAACGGTGCCACAGTATGTTCCCGCACGGACAGATATAACCACCATAACCATGTTTCTCTGTCTGTTTTTCTGCCTCCTCCAGGCGTGTGCTGCCTACAGTTTCATCACCATCCCGTCTCTCAGCAGCATCTTCAGTCGTCTCAGCCTCTACCTGCTCTCTGGTCAGGTTGCATTGGCCAATCAGTGCCTCTCCCAGGGTGAGCACACTTCCTGGTTTCACATTTTAAACTGAAAGTAAAAAGCCAATAATCTAATTCAAGACTTTGCGGCCAAAAGTTCTTTCCCTGTTAGAACAAATCCTAATGTTTCCCTCCTAATCTTTACCTCTTTTGTTATCTCTCCTCTCCTTCCTTTCTTCTGTACATCTTTTCTACATTATTCCTTCTTTTCTTTCTTTTATATTGTTTCCTCCTTGCCCACCTCCCTCTCCTCCTACCATCTCTCCTCTCCTGTAGCTGATGCCTTCCTGAAGGCAGCGGTCAGTATTCTCCCGGAGGTCCCTCGCTCCATCAGCGTGGATGGGAAACTTCGCTCCTCCGAAAGCTTCCTGCTTGACTTCATCAACAACTTCTTGGCCACGCTTCTGGTTGTCCCGGTAACACACTCAATCCTCTCCAATCTGCCTCAGATTAAAAGAAAGATAAGGAAATCCTCCTAAGCGGGAACATCAAGTTCTTCCTCGTGCCTTGTTTGTTGTGTTGGTTCAGATGTGATTTTCTAGGCCATGTCCATCATCTCCCCCCAGACTCCCTGCAGAGTGTGTTTGCCAATACGTTCCATTTCTATGTTTACAGGACCATCCCGAGCATGGCGTGCTCTACCTAGTCCGAGGTCTGCTCAACATGGTCCAGGATTACACCTGGGAGGACAACAGCGACGCCAAGGTGCGGGTTTACATCAGCGCTCTGCCCCTGCTGGCCGCCATGAGCCAGGAAAACTACCTTTACTCCGTCCCCAGAGGTAAACGCACACACAGCAGAGGAAAAATATCTCATACGCAACAATCCTTCACTTTGGAGGACCATTAGTCTGTTTGCTCTCTTTCTAGATGACAGAATTAGCTTAACTATTCTATGATCCCTTATTTTGGAAGCACACTATCCAAGGTTTTCCAGAAATCCAGACAAGGGAACTTCCTGATCTTCCTGATCCTATTTTATGGATCATCCCCTGGTTCATTCCTATCTAAATTTAGTTTTAAGTGATGTAACACCTCAACTATTTTGCTTCATGACTACAGGCTGTACTGTGGTTTATAGGGGGTTGGGATCTTACACGAATGAGTGCTTCCATTTTTTTTATTTTTCTGCCAACATGTATCTTCTCTCTCCTGGACTCAGTGGATTCCAACGAGACGCTCTACGGAGGAGACCCCAAGTTTCTCTCAGAAATCAACAAACTGTGTGAGACCCTGATCGGACAGATCCTGGATCATCTGAAGACTCTGGGTCGTGATGAGGTGCGGACAGACGCAAAGAAGCAATGTTTTTGTAGCGTTCAGTTTGACGGTCACTTCAGTGTTTGCCCTCTGCTGGCAGATAGCGAGATCTAAGGTTTCCCTCATTTATGTCCCTCCCTTAATGTTCTTTACAGCAGAACACACGGCGCCAAGGCACTGTAGCCCTCTCTCTGTTCGCTGTCCTGCTGGCTCACGGCGACCTGAGGAACAACAAGCTGAGCCAGCTCACCGTCAACCTGTGGAACCTCAGCCACAAACATGGATACTGTGAGACTCGCCTCTCGGTGAGTTCACATCCCCGCCCGCAAACATATCAAACCCCCGGTTTTCAGCCATCTCACTGTTACTGGTTGACGTCAGATTAAACTTTTTTTTTTTAATAATAATGCCTCACTGTCTCCCTGCTTCAGGTTCGGACTCTGGAGTACATCAAACACCAGGCTCAGCAGCCTGACACCGCTCACCTGTCAGATATAGTCCAGAGGCTCACACTGCAGTCCCGCACCTGAAGACCCATTTACTAAATAAAACATAAAAAGCACAAAGAAGAATGAAATGTCTATAGGATTGTGAACGGAGAAAAATTCCTTTGGATGTCACACTCACAGTATTAAAGAAGCTAATATTGGCACTTAAAGGTTCCGTGTGTAAGATTTAGGTGAAAGACAAACTAAACAGCACAGGTTCTTTTTCATGTTTGGAAGGGGAGGGTGAGGGGTGTTCAGCTGTAACATGCAATTTCAACACTAGATGTCACTAAATTCTACACACTGTACCTTTAAACCGAAGTTACAGAAAAACAGCAACTGTTTCAACTGTGTAAATGACTAAAGTTTGCAAAGGAAGAAAAATCCATTCATCCCTTGAAGCTGTATTCAGATATGAACTCTAGAAAATGTCTGGAAAATTGGCTCCTCTTTTTCCTCCTGAGATATTCGTATCCTCAGTTTCACGTCTGTCCTGTTACATCATGAACACGCTCAGTCGCACGCTATGAATGTTTCTCCAGACATTTTACTAGGCGGGCTGGCAGGAAAAGTTCTTAAAAAAACTGACTCAGACATTTGCATTCTCTCCCACATACACCCGCAGGAGAATTTCGGGAAAATATCCGGACTTGAGCGGATGTCTAAGAGCAGTTGCTTTGCACTAAAACAAATTTTCACAGATGAGCGATTCGGAAAGGAAAAGGAAGGAATGGAAAAGAAACAAAAAAGAAAATGAGTTAACAAGTGTCATACAGTATCTGTTCTGCTGCTGTGCTTTTGTCCTCGTTTATATATATATTGCAGTGAAAATTCACTTTCAGTTTTACCTGCAGCTATTTCTGAGAAGAAAATCATATACCTGTCATCATGGATACAATATTTACAGTAATGTAATAATATTGCTTTAACTATAGTATTTTGACATGTTGTCTTCATGCATTTGTAGAAATAAACTTAAATTCTGTTTGTATTTAAATTTTGAGTATGAATCCAAAAAACCAGACAGGATGCCGTTTGTTTCGAGACATTCTGAAACTCTTAAGTTGTAGTTTATTCAGTTAGTGAATCATTGCAAAGGCAAACACTCCCCTTTAGTTCTCAAAGACAAAAAAATCTAATACAAACGCTGCAATGTTGTTCAGTGACACACACACACACACACACACACACACACACACACACACACACACGGCCTTTGGTCACACACTTTTTGTACTTCCAGATGATTAAAGGGAAATCGTGACAGAACTGACTTCAGGCTCAGAAAACAAAATAGAACTAAAAAACAGCAATGACAGTTGACACTGCACAGAAACATGTGATATGGGAACTGAAGCATGTTTTGTGATACTGCTCAGTTGGTTGATCTCTTTGGGAAAACATGAGGAACCTGAGTCAGTTTTGCCCCGAATTTCCCGTTTGGATAGTCGACCTCAGCGTTGCAACAGAGAGGCCTGCAGGAGGCGCTGGTCACCAGAGAGAATTATTCTTGGGGTCATTTCAATAATTGATTTTAAGATTTTGGATTTTTCTTTTTTCGATCTCTGTTGTCTGCAGCCACATCACTCGCCTTTTCGCTATATTTTCAACATCTGATTGAAACAATCACAGAAACTCAACAATATTCTATCAGTCTGTCTGTAGCACTGAGACATTGAGCCAGCCAGTCCTGTGTGGAAGAACTAAATGGGAAATTTAGATCATCTGAAATTCTTCAGTCTAATATTTAAATGAACCATTGAGATAAATTATAAGCAACTTGTCATCACACAATGGTATTTCAGCTATTTTTCTTTGTGTACCTTCTTTTCGTTTTGTAAAACACCAGCATTTAGCGTTTTAAATAATAAAGATCTATTGAATCATTTTAGTTTTCAAATTTTGCTCGACTGATTCATGATTCATTTTCATAAAGTTTTTATTGAATATCTGCCATTTCTAGCTCCCACACAGATAATTACACACAAGTAAATAAAAACTTCTTGACATTGGAAGACCTGTTGACATTCCGAGTTTTTAATAAAGATTTTGACTTCACAGGGGGGTTTGACCGCTCTCGATTATCTGGAGCACAGTTAAGGTTCTTTTTTTTAATTCCTAAAAATAGCGAACTGACCAGACCTGGGCTGATCAAATGTCACTACGAGGAAAAACAAAGCCAACTTTGAATGATGTGGGCAAAGACAGCCATCGAGGGGAACAAGCAGTGTAGTGTGAGCTCTCTGAGGGTCGATGAAGTTAACACTGATAAACAGCAGCTATTGTGTCGTGCATGAGCTGAACTGAAGACAGACCGTCGAGACACCTCCGAAAGGAACTGTTCGAAAATATTTTCTTGAAAGGGAGAACTGAAACAAAAGCCAGAAACAGATAGGTACGCAGAAGATTTAAATATCAGCTTCTTATAAACACGCAAAGCAAAATTCACTCTTAACGGATTTTCGGTGTCTCATTTTTCTCCTCTCACCTCAAGATCACCAACTGCTTCACGCACCTCGCTGCCAGGATTTTTTTTTAAACAAGACATCTACTGACTGTAACGAGGCCAAAACTGGATATTCTGACACTGATTCTCTCGGACGCAGTGCGGATGAGCTCTGCAGCAGCTCAGCGAGTGCACATACAAAAAAAGTGAGACCTGGAGCTACTTGTACACAGACAGCTCTGTTTATAGTTGAATAAAATATGACCCATAAAGATACTGAGCAGAAAAGGTTTGTTTGGTTGACATTCAAGGTGCAAGATGACTTTACACAGAGCGCTGGTTTTTTTTTTGTTCATAAAGCCGAGAAACTGAGCAGCCTTGACTACAGCAACAATTTATTAAATTTGAGTAAATTAAGTTAACACCATGGCTCTGATCGAACAAACAAAACAGTTGTATATTTGTAGTTAGTTGATTAAACCATCTGGTAATGATCTAATCGCACATTGTGGTGAAAGCTTTCACTCTGGACGCTGTCCTCTCCTCTGGTTTTCACAGGGAGCAAACAACGAGTTATGTGTTGGCTAAAAATCATTAACCCTAAACGCAGAACAAAAGTCCCAGACTAACAAAATAATTATTAAAATAAAATAATACAATCTGAACAACTTGGGAAGAGTTTGCAGTTTGGCGCAGTCGGTCCAGGCAGTGCTGAGGGAGATGTTTTGGTGACCTGATTCTAATTCTTGATTTTGGACTGGATAGGTTGGATGGGGGGGAGGGTGGGTTTCCTGGAAACAGCACGCCTCTGAAAACACGGACCCAAGCCCCGCCCCATCCCTGTTGTCGAGGTGACGAAGGGAGTCGATCGATGGGGGGGGGGGGGGTCTTCCTCTTCTTTGTGTTTACTTGTTCTTCTCCCGGGCTGCAGGCTCAGTCCAGTTCTATGGGGCTGCTGTCTTCCTGGGCTTCTTCAGCCCCGTCATCGTCCTCGCCCGACCCCATCAGGCTGTTCAGCAGGTTTCCTGCACGAGGCAACACAGTGACCATCACACTCATGAAAAAAGTTTAAATAACCTTGTATTGAGATTGTCTATCTCAAAAGTAGGTATATGCTCATCAAGGAGTTAGATGAGAAGATTGAAACCACTCTCATATCTACATGGAAAATGTGTTGGTTAGCATAAAGATTGGAAACAGCCAGTTCTGTCCAGCAGCAACAAAATCTGCCCGTCAGTCTAATACCATGTGGTCCTAAGTACTTTGAGGATTACATGTTGGCAAGTTGTCAGGCCACACTAAAGGCCCTTTCAGATAGAAAGCCGTTTACATTGGGCTGGTTGCAGGGTTCAGTGCGCAGCTCTTGGTTTGCGCTATGCTGGCCACTGGAAGCAAAATCTGCAGTTTTCTTTTTTTTGTGAAACATTGCCTTACCTTCAACAAGATACCTGTCTGTTAAAACACCTGTCGTGTCTACTTGACTTGAAATATGTGCAAAAATGTGTTATGGCTTTCCTCCTGAGGACTCAATATACAAGTAAACTCGAGTTATATAAACACAGAAACGCACAAACCTAAATGAAAAAGTTAGATGCACCTATGTAAAGTTTAGTCTGTAGTACTGCAACATCTGACGCATCATCAGACGCAGCGAGTCTGTTCGAATGCTCACGTCGGCAGCAACCGAGTCAAACATAACAGATAATCTTGCAGCAGCCCTGACGCCACCTGACGTGCTGCTCTGCTCACTCACCTCTTTGCTGGTTGTCCACTTAACAACAGACTACATGAAGTCCCAGGACGTGGCCAATATTAAGTTTCATATCTACTTTACAGACATGAGAGTGGTGTCAGTCTTCCATCCAACCCTCCACAAGACAGTGCATGAGCTTATTTACCAAAATGAAGCACAAATGTAAAGAGAATAATTAGAAATCTGCTTGAATGAGCAAAACCTCGGTCCACTCACCTAGCAGCCCACCGTATGATGGAGACTGTTTGGGTGGAACCCCAAAGAAAAGCTGTCCTATTCTGTCGAGATACTGAGGAGATAGGAAGACGTCCAGAGGAAGAGGACAGAGAGACATGGAGACTTTGTTTACATGGACTGAAATATTTCATAGTGACATTAGGTGGGTTTCCATGAACCATGACATTTTACAGAAGGAGGTTACGTTTTCATTGGTGTTTGTTGGCAGGATTATGGAAAAACGACTCAAATGAAGGAGCACAACCCGAGGAAGAAGCCAACACACTTTGGAGAAGATTGAGAATTAATTTTCTTGAACATGGCAAGATAGGGCGTTAGCCTCAGTGGATGGAAACCTGCATGAATTCGTATTTTGGCTGGAAACCCACCTACTGTTACAGTTTAGATTATTTTTTCCCCAACCAGATAAGGTTAGAGACAAGGTATATAAGCAATACACGACTAACACATGTGAGTGTAGCTGCTTTAATACATGATTAAGAGGTGAAATGGTAAAAAAACAACTTAATAGCTTTACACTCACCTCATTGTACATGGGGTCCCTCTTCAGGGAAGGTTGATATTGTTCACATAACACTGTGAAAACTGTTAATTTACCCCTGAGAGACAGAAGAAATATTTTATTAATAATAATACTGCGCATTATTATATCCAATCTGGTTATCGAACACAAACTGTTGACTGATTATTAAGCAGTAACTTTAACATTGTTTTCCTCACCCATCCACTGCCAGCAGCAGAAACCAAATAAAGTTTAGTAGAGGCTGGACGAAGGGAGGGCCCCTCTCTATGGACGGGTGTTTCTCTGTGTATGTGCTGAACACCACAGAAGCACTGTTTTTGTTCTTTAAGCAGAGGAACCTGGGGGGTGGGGTTGAGAGCAGGGAAGTATAGAAATAGAGAAGGTACAGACAATACAGTTAAAACGAGTTGATGGGACAGAAAACCTGAAAGAGGGTGACACGTGTTCTGAATTTAAAATCTAAACTTTAAATCTTATAAGTTTGTATGAAATTTACAGGACATTACAAACTACAGCTGTACTGATTGATAATTTGGAGGTGAAGATATTTCAAACAAAGATTTTTACAGTGTGATGATATAAAATTTAATTTTTTACGTACTGTAGGACGGCCTGCACTACAAACATGTCGACCTCGCTGCGGAAGCCTCGTGACGACGAATACTCCACCAGCATCTGTGCGCAGCCCTCGCCGTCAGAGGAATGCAGGAAGTGGTAACGAGACTCACTGTAGTTTTGCTCTGAAAACACAAAATATTTAAATGTTTCAACTGTTTACATTTGAAGGAGACACACAAAACAGTCTGCTGCTGAGAAAGAGGATTGGGGTCTATCCTGATGTGTGTTGACAAGAATCATGATGCGCAGAACCCAGAATGGAAGCAGGTCATGACTGATAGGTAAAATGTGGTCTTAAATAAGTTTACAGGTTTACAGTTTCACTCATATTCATGATAACCTGTGAAAACCATTTTAATATTGTACCGTTTTCTGACAAGAACTCTGGAAAACGTCCAGAAAATTGAGCAGCAGGAGCTTGCTTGGTTTAGACACATTCACAACAACTGGAAAATGTCCAGACCCTTCAGGCGAGGATGGAGAGGCAGGACATGATGTATGAATTCTGCTGTGGAAGTCAGTGTTTTTTGTCTACAGTACATCAAAAATGGTGAGGGAAGTGATGTTTTACTGAAGCGCTGACAACAATATGACAAGCTTCTGGATGTAATCGCAAAATCAACCAAAGAGTTGAAATATGCTATTTGTATTCTTTCAGTTTCTCATCCGTTGCATGTTAGAAACATTGTCAACACACTACCTTGCTCAGTGGGAATTTTCCGGAAATGTCCCTGCTGTATTGTCACATGGGCTTTACCAGGGGGGGCTGGCAGGAATAGCTCCAGGAAATATGTGGGGCTTCTGACTCAGACATATGCGTTCTCACATGCAGCCCCTCTGGAAATGTTCAGGAAAATGTCTGAAAACATCTTCTTAATCCTTTACCGTTTATAAACTAAACGTTTAATTAGTTACCTTTCCATAAGGTGACAGCTAGCAACTGGTGTAGTTTTGGGTGACCCAACTTGCCGGAGCCTCCTGTAGACCATTTCAAGGCTCTGGACACAAATGCTACTCTCTCCGGAGAGTTCTGGTCCATCCGGCTGAATAGCTTAGCCAGGCTTTCTGCTTAGAAAACACACAAACAAGCCCAATAACATCAGAGAATATCCTCTTTACTTCAAAAAGTCCTATTGTGCTGTCCTTGAGAAAGGCCTGTGTGTCTGAATGACATGACATTGTAAGGTGGCTATAAACATATTATACATATATTCTTTTTACATTTTAACATTTGCATGGTTACAATTGTCTTTGAAAACATAATTTACTTCACAAACAGTGTATTTTTTACAAATCTGTAGAAGAGGCACAAGCCTTCTGGTTTCCATTTCTCGTTCACTGTTTGTGTGTTGTTCGGAGAAACGTTCAACTTACATGATAATAGAAACGAGTCAGATTGTGACCATGTGTATGGCCAACAGAAGACACGGCCCAGATATCCACCATCTCCACAGGGAGCACCAAAATATCATCCGTTACTATCGGAGGCTAATTCACCATAAGATAATAGCCGATGGGCTCCGAGGTTGATGTCTTCCTGGTTTGCACTTTGCTCAATGTTATGAACTCTTTCAGGGCATTTTAAGTACTCTGTATTTGTGATTTGAAATTCTGTACATCTTGCTGTGAAGTACTGCATGTATTTGTAACAATAGTACAGGAACACAGCTCATGTTGGTGAGACTCCTTTTCACAATCAAAAGGACAGCACATAGTAAAGAACATCATGTCCTGTAGCCACCCTCTCTTTCACACCCATAAAAGTATAACAGTAAACGTCAGTGCAGGTAGTTTTGCACATTTATTATTTTCATAGGGTTCAAGGTTACCACTCACCTAATATTTCATCCTCGACTTTTGTCTCAGATTTCTCCAACACTTCCAGCACCAGCATGGACAAATCTGCTGCACTGTTTTGCTGCAGACGAGAACATAACAGGTAGATTTTTCTTAACTGTATCGGAATATTCAGGACCAGAATATGAGGTTGAATCAATCTGTTGATTATGAATTCACCAGCCAACTGACTGAATTGAACACACAATTAGGTTGTTTGTCCAAATACCTGGCTATTTTAACATGTCCACAAAAACCTGATTGTTTTTTTGCATTAATAACAAAGATTCATTCTAATATGGAGAATTTTGTGTGTGTTGCATGTACCTGGTTATAGCTGAAGAACAGTAGAGCACCATTGTACATCAACTCCCTGGCCTCAGCATGTTTTACCTGTGACATGTACCTGATGGAAGACAGAAATGTCAGCGTTAAACGATAAGATCTGCTTTGTGGTTCCAGTCACAAGCTTCCCTTGCATCACGCAACACTGCTGATGACAGATAATACACACACACACAGCTGTTAAGTTTGAGATAAGAAGGTATCACACTAAAGAACTTTAGTTAAGACCACCTGCAGTATTTAAGATGAGAAACAGGTATTCATAATAACAATTATGACTTTTAATGATGAGAAGGAATAAATCAATGATCATTATGAAGATATGTAGAAGGTTTGACTTCAATTTGATTTAATTACAACATTTCAACTATGCTGGAGGCTGGTAGACAACCAGATCATGTTTTCATTGCTCTGACAGCGTCCACTTCTGTTACTGATCCAACTACATAGGATCAGACCCACATCATGGGTGTGAATGTTGCTTATTAAAAAAGATGGCAGACAGAGCAGTTCCACGGAGACATGTCTCCCACTCAGCCACATTAACCAGTGGTCATTTCTCCATTGTAAATTGTGAAATAATATAACCACAGAAGACACACCAAAGCCCAGACTGCGACAGTGCAGTGTAGCTATGTGGCTACATGCTAACGCAGATGGACAGCTTCTAAGAACACGTTTAACAAACACCAGTGGTTCATTTCACGGTTAGTCTCAAATATTCTGTTACACGTAAAACATCTTCTTCACCCACACAGGCTGTGTGTGTGTGTGTGTGTGTTTCGCCTCAGCAGCCCGATAGCTCTGTTTAGTCTGCTAACTAAGTTGCTAAACACGTAGCTAGCTAACTAGCCGCAGCATTTTTTGGCTAATCACGTAGCTAGCCAGCTAACTAGCCGTGGCGTGATGGACAGCTCAGCTGCGCAAACAAACAGGCGGAACAACGCGAGTGGGTGGGTCCGTGGCGAGATCCAACCAATCCTAAGCGGGCAGGTATGGCAGCAGGGCGGACACGGGGCTCTGGAACAGACAGGCCCCAAAGCCGAGCACTGACAATTAACAGCTGCAGCTGCGGACACGGAGCGGACTCTTACCTAAAAAATAAAGTCCTGTACATCTGGTGTGCTTCGTAGTAATCCCCCTTCTCTACGCTGGCTCGCAGTTTCCCCTCCACCCTCTGGACGCCTCCACGGTTCCTGGCGCTGGAGCACCTCAGAGACTCCGGCTCCGACATGGTCGTCGCTCCGCGGCAGCGCTCGGCCTCTGCTCGAGTGTTGACACTGAGGCACGGCAACCCGGAAAGATTTCAAGGGAGCACACCCTCCTCGCTTGCCGTAGCCGGCGGTGATGCGCAGCAGGCGGTGGTCGGGGATGCGGACACGGTGTTGGATGTTGTGACGAGTAAATGTAATTCTAGCATTGAAACAACACATGTTTGTTTTCGGGAAACGCTTTCCAGTAGTGGTTGACTTGCATTGTTTAAAAGAATCTAGTTCTTAAAGGTCCAGTGTGTAGGATTTAGGTGAAAGGGATCTATTGGTTATAAAATGATCATTGTCCTAGTGATGTTTTCACTAGTGTGTTTCATATAAGTTGTATGAATAGTTGTCTTATTTACCCTAGAATGGCTCCTTTATATTTACATTAGGAGGGGTCCGCCATGTTGTCTTTACAGTAGCCCAGACTGGACAAACTAAACGCCTTCTCTTACATGTTGGGGTGGGTGAGGTTCGGGGTATACAGCTGCAACATGTACCTTCACCTCTAGATGTCACTAAATTCTACACACTGGATCTTCAGTATGAAAATATAAAATGAGGTATTCAACCCACATAGCGAAATTGTTCTGTATCACATGGAATGACAACTGTGCCCCTAATTTGTTTGGTGCTATTTGGGCAATTTTCACCATTTACCACATGGGCCACTTTAGGTTCACATCAGGATTACACTTTGCAGAGAGCACCGTATGTTTGCCAAAAGAGGCCCACGTTCGTTTTGGTATATTTGGGCCACTTTTGGCTCACATCTATTTTGTTCAGGCCACAATAAGGCCAGAAGTGCTGTATCCCTTCCTGAAACGGCCCACGTCTGTATGCGGTCTGGGAAACGTAGGACAAATCCAAAGAGTTTGGGGGAAATAATTTAACTGTTTGAATTTCTTACACAAATGTTGACCTCCAGAAACAGCTTTTTATATGGATTTAAATGACATAACTTCAAAAGCACAATCTCTTTATGAGCATCTATGTCCCTTGATTCCAGATTGACCATTTGTGTGTTTATTTTTTGTCCTTTTCTCTTTTGTTTTTAATTATACAGTATATTCTATATTGTTTCTGTTGTTGCCAATCGCTCAGTCTTCTTCAGATTGCATTAGAAGTCATCATGATATCATGTACTGTATTGTTTGTAATATATTTGAGTTTGAATTGAGAAAAACACCTTGTCCTGGGATGACCACTTGACCCAGTGGAGGTGGTGGGACAGAGCAGGATGATGGTGAAGCTGTCTTCTCTCTGCAGGACACCATCACAGCACTGGGCTGCTCTTTCAGCAGCAGATTCCCCCTTAAGTGTCTGAAGGAGAGGCATCACAGGTTGTTCCTTCCTGCAGATTTAAGCCTGTACAACCAATCTGCTCAAAACGACACGCATCCATTATGGACTACACTTTAATTCTGGTTTAAGTCTCTTAACTGTGCAATATTTATTCTGTCTGTGCAATACAATGGTTCATGTGCATCCATTGACTGTACATATTCGCACATTGCACATATTCTTCTTGTTTTTACACTGTATATATTCGTTTTTATTCTATTAAAATTGTTCTATATTTGTTATATTCCTTACACTGAATTATTATTATTCTTACACTTAGGTATTGCATGTTACTTATTACTTACTGATGCATAGCTTTGATTGTTCTCTTCTCTGCAAATTCCCTGTTGTGGGCCGAATAAAGGATTATCTTATCAATTCTTACCTCATTTTGTCAGTTTAGATGTTATCAAAACAAATGAAAGTGAAACAAACCATAAATTAAAGATTTAATATCCACTTAAAGGAATAAAACATTTAGAGTGAATGCTCCCATGTGAACTCATGTAATTGTGGCCCATAACGAGCAGGGGGTATGTACATAAATAAATTATGAGAAAAACAATGAGATGAGGTTTCACACAGTGATGTACAAACCTGTAGCTCTTGAAGTACACGCTTTTCGACACTAGGTGAAGACAAATACTGCGCAGGAGGCAGCATCTCCAGTATTAAGTACTGCAAGTACTACACCTTGGATCCACTCTGCGGTTTCCCACGTTAGAATCCGTGTTGCGCTGGAGACAACATTGTGTTTGACATGTGTTGACGGGACCCTGCGACACCGAGGAGCTGCGAGGGGAAGGTGTTGCGAAGGAAGTGGGGCTTTCGCGTCCCACGCAGAGGAGGCTTTTTCCGGTTAAAGTTTCCTTTGTGACTCGGAAGTGGCGGTGTGGTCCCCAAGCAATCCGTGTACCTCTACAGACACGACACACAAGAGGCGACCATGATGAGTAAGCGAAGGAACACACGCATCAATTGATCGCTTCTGAGCATTAGCTGGTTCTTTCAGTGACAGACAGCGGCGGCGTGCCAGACAGACGGGACAGACGCTAACGGCTAGCTAGCGGGTAATGCCTGGCTGATGTAGCATGCTAACGGGAGCTAACTTGGGGTGAGCAGGTTTTCACACGTAGCCTGTGGTGGAAATAAGTACGATCGTGTGTAGCAGTTAACCTCTCGCGTTCACTGTGTCGTTTGCCTGCGGGTTTCACACCGTGGCGTCACTTTAATAGCGCCCAGACTGCTCAGGCTGAACTCCCACCCAGACAGGCTAACGATAGCTTAGCACGCCTGTCTGTTTTGGACTGACAGCTGCAGACTGCTGCTGCCCCAGCTGACATCTGTGGAGAGGCCTCCTCCTGCAGCACACAACAGATTATCAGCTCTCATCCTTCTTCTTCAGCCTCTTCTGTTCATTTTCATTTTTCAGGGCCTTTTTTCCCTGCACATGTCCTGGTTACAGATGTGCACACTCTGCCTCTGCTCTCCATCATGATCCACTGCAGAGTAATGGGCGTAGAGACATGGGGGTCGAAAGGGAAGGGGATGAAATAAGTGTTGAAGTTTTGCTTTCTTTGTTTTGTTCAACAGAGCCGTTCAAAGCCACGTCCTTCTGAAATGGAAAAACGCCCCGTCAGGATTTTATAATACAGGTAAGCACCAAGCCTTAGATGCCATCAGGCCTAGTTGAAACCAGGGGGCAGGTGAGGATCACATGCCTTTCCTGCCTGCTGGGACCTGAGACACTGTTGTGGTTTTGCTGAGTGATGCTGAAGAAAGCATGGCTGTCATGTCAGCAGGTGTGTATTTCTGTGTGTAGCAGTGCAATTGTGCTATGTGTCTGAAAGGCCAGTGTGGGTGTCTGTCTTCTGAACAGTACAGACTTTGCATGTTTGAACAGCAGTCCTCTGCTGGGAAAGTACCAATTATGGCGCAATGGATATTTGTGAAATGCAAAAAGGAATCTATTGAATGTTTGGTTCAATCAACCGTGTGACACTTGTCTTGCCCTTTTTTTATCAGATTATTTAAGCTTCGGTGTATGCACCGCAAAACTGTAAAGTCAAACATACTTTCTCATCTGATTTCTTCCTCATGACGAGGAGATATGCATCTCACAGTGAGGTTTTTGCATGACTCATTGATCACATGCTGCACATACTTCATGTCAGTGTCGAATCACAGTAGCTTACATTTTTGTTAAGAATACACTGTGTCCTAGATACTGGTAATGTATTATCCAGTGTTTTTCAAAGTACTGAGAAATTTGCCGATACAAATGTTCTGTTCTAGATGTTAACATTTAACATGTGATTTCAAGGTTGTAATAGTGATCAGACAAAAATCATCTATGCTTTTGCTGCGGAGATTTGAAAGTGAAGTCTTTGACATTGGGAGGTATCAAGAAGCCTCACATGTAAACGGGACAAGAAATTATTAGAAATTCTGAATTTATATATATATTTTTAAATATATCTTTATTACACATACAGATTAGGCTTTAAATACACCATATGTGAGTAATTTATGCTTGTTTCTCAGCTCACTTTGCATCCGTTGACTGAACTTATATCTGATTAAAATATGTAGTTTAAAACAACAAGAATCTAAAATGTGCATTGTATTGAAGATACTCAACAAAATATATAAAACAGGTCCTATCGTTTTTAGACATGTTACATAGATGTTCCAAACATCCTGAGGCCAGTAACATCAAGTGAGCATTTAGTGGGTCAGGTGGTTAGTGTGCCTCTATACAGACGTATGCCAGCATTTTATTGTGACAGAACGGAGTGACATCTCAGACAACACTGCCTCATTGTTTTTAGCCCCACTGTGCAGTAACGACAGAATCCCCATCAGAACCCCACAGCTAGAAAAACACATATTTGCAGAGAGCAGCAACAACAACAGAGGGACTTGCCTTTGTAAATAACAATTATTGATCAGCTGTCCAAGTTCTTGTCCTGGCTCCAGTCAGAGGAGTGTGTCCCAAAGCAAGATAACCAGTTACACCAGGCCAACTCCAATAAATTAGGGAAATCGCCTCCATAAAGAAGGTGTAACTACATTTTAACCTAAGATACAATGGAAGCAGATCCCTTCAGACTAATCTCAGACACGTTTAGGCTTCGCTTCACTTCATGTTTAACCAGTTTGTATTACAAATGTACCTGCCAGTCTGAAACACTGATTTCTCTAGTATTCCTCAACAAGAGTCCCTCATTACTGCTGCACTGTGGGGTTGAGGCGATGGACAGTGCTTTAATCCAAAACTCTGCAAGTTCAGGTTTTACAGCAGAAAACGACAAATGCTAGTGATGTCACTGATAATGACCTGATTAATTAATTAAACGAATCAGCACTCAACTCAACAACACGCAACATGGCAAACATATATATATATATATATATATACACCTCATAATTCTTACTAATTACTCAGTTGTTTGTCTATATGTGTGTGAGAAACAGACAGAGAGAGAAAGACAGGTGCTCGGTTTCCTGGCACTGACTTGTTTTTGCTTGTGAAAGAAACCTGGGTACCATTTATCTCTTATTCTCTAAAACTGAACTCTGATAGGCCAATAAAGGCAAATCCAGTGTATTACATTTCTGAACACACAGTAAAATGCTTGTGGAACAAAGGAGGGGCTTCTCAGATCAGATGTAAGGGTATATTTACTACATTCATTTGCCATATAAGGTTACTACATTTCACACTGGAGAGTCAGGGTTTTCCCCAGGTTTAGCAAGAAGAAAAAT